GTTTGGCTATTTCAGTACCAATACCATAGTGAATAGATTAAAGAGGCTTTGTTATTAAGGTCTTGAACCACTAGCAGCTCAGCTATAGTTACTCTCAGGACTCATTCTGTCACAAAGGATGAGACACATATCCAGAGTCACCAATGCTGGCTATGGCTCCCTATTTTAATTGGAAATACTTGTTGAATCACTTTTTGTGTGTGCCAAAATATGAAGGATAAAATCTGCCAAAAATCAGCATTCAGTGTAGAGGCTGTCTGGTTTGGTTGGTTTATTAGATAAGTAAATCATACTCTTTTCTATTTTTTTTAAATACCACACTGTTTTTAAAAATTAATTTAAAAGGCTACATAATTGGTGGTTGCTGCTAAAGGAAAGTAAATGGCATCTTAGTCTTCCTTAGGAGGTTTTCCACTTGGATCCCAGTTCAGTTTCTTCAGAACATAATGCCAATGGGAAACAATGTGGTGGTGGTTTCAGATGTGGTCTTTAGACTTGAGATCAGGTCTTCCTTTGGTTCCTGGGAAAGAAGGTACATTATTCCTCACCACCAATACTTTTAGTTGTATCCAAGAAAAAATACAAGACTTTCTGCAGATTGTTAAATGTTAGCTTTCACCAGAGTTGCATAATTGAATTTTTGTTGAATCCAATATTTCAAAGACATTGCCTAAAATTTTAGAGCAAATTGTATAGGGGAAAAATAGAAACCACTAAATAAGTTTTCTTTAATGTGCATATTTATATTCATTGCATCTTTTTTCCCATCTGGTCCTGCCCTACCGCTGGTCCAAGAATTAGGTCTCTCTATGCATGACTTAACTCAAAACAACTAGGATTGCAATTTTGCCCCAGTGTATTAGAAAGGAAATGCTGTGATTTATGTCTTACAATGAAACCACGTATCTATATGCATTGCATCTTCTCTACCCTGCTTCCCCACCACCAGCTGAAGAATTAGGTCTCTCTGTGTATGATTTAACCCAGAACAACTCTGGTGGTAAGATCTATAATTTTGCATAAATGTATTAAAAGGAAAACCTTGTGATTTGTGTCTTTAAATATATAATGGGCACTATGCAGCTGGGTCAGCACTCTGATATTTCTTGGAGAGAAATCATAGCAGTATTTGGGTTCATCAGGCATCATTGACAGTGATTGTTTCCATATGGCTTCCTGAGAATGTAAAGCTTAGGAAGGGCCACTACTTACATCATACATAAATAAGCCAAAAACACCCTTTTTGCACTCTTTGTAAATGTTTTCTCATTATATTCATTTCATCAATTTGAGAACATTTATAACCAGCATCTTCCTGGACACATCATAGGATGACCACTGGAAATGCCACTTTCTCCAAAAATAAAAAGGAAGGAAAACATTTCCTCTCTTCTACCAAACGTGAAATTTGAATTATTTTCAAAAGAAAAAAAATCTATACCCAAAGATGATACTTTGCTTGTTTAATCAGCAACTAATCATTGAGTATCTCCTGGCTCCCACATATATTGCATATTGTGAACATAACAATGTCCAGGGGAAAAAAGAGATCCCAGATAATTAATTATGCAGAAAACCCTTTGATTACAGTGATGGTAAATGCTTCCAAGGAAATGTTCAGTTTTTAAGGAGAGTTGGTGACCCCTAATAATATACAATAGGGTAAAGAGACTGTTTTTTGCTACTGATGTACCAAAGGAAAAGAAGGGAAGTCTTGAGCAAGGAGAATGGAGCAAGTGCTGTGGCTATTAAAGGTCCCAGGGGCCTTTTTGGTCAGGACTGGAATGCTTCTTTGGGATCATGTGATCAGAACACTGTTTCTGAAAGTGTGGTCTATGGGCCACCTGCAGCCCTACCCCTGGGATGCCTGTTAAATGTCGAGATTTGTAGACCTAGCCTACTGGAACCAAATGGAGCTATGTCGGAAGTCAGCATTTTAAACAAGCTTCCAATGTTCTTTTTCTGAACTCCATAATTTGAGCACTTTTGTACTGATTTAGATTCTCATGTTTATTAAATCCTCAAATGATCTTTGTACCCTTTCACTTTCGTCTCTGAATCATTTCTGGGATTACTTCACAGGGTCAGACATTTAGAAATAGCAAGTAGCCAGCCTAATTCCACATGAAATTAAAATACTCATAGTGTAGAAAAGTGGATAGAGAACTGAACCAGAAATCCAAACTTGTGTTTGAATTGTTCATATAACAATGTATGAAGAATAATACATGTTGTTATATATGGTCATGGAAAGAAATTTCTCCTCTCCGTTCTGTTTGCTTGTTCATAAAATGATCAGCATTTTCCAAACCTTGGTCAGTGCGCTACCACCTCCAAAATAGTACCACCTACAGTATTAGAAATATTTTTCTTTTAATGGTTACTTAAGTTTCATTTTTTAAAAAGCTTTATATCATTACCATAAATGGAAACAAATCATCACTTACTATAAATTAGAAAGTCATAACTATAAAATATATAACAATTAAAAAATTTTTAAAAATCTATCCCTGAAGTTCTAAAACAATTGTACTTACTGTTAATGATATTGTCATGATACTTTGGGAAACAGTGAATTAAATACTATTTAAGACTAGTTTCTGCTTTAAAAATCTAAGTGTTTATTAGAATCTCATGCAAATGGTTATTTCATTATTCCTGGAAGAAAAGAAGTCCAAATTTATAAAGCAATTTCCTTAAAACCAACCATCGGCAATTATCAGGGGAAAATTCTATAATAGAAGCTGAGAAAAAATGACCTTTTTTCCTCAAAAGAAATGGCACTTAATGTTACTCAAATATTTAATTAAATGACTATATCAAATATACAGTATTTAAGCAAAAATATTACATCTGCTAATTCCACCTGTTTCTTTTTTCAAATCATTAAAACTAGAATAGATTATAAAAAATATTACACTTTTAGCAGAAATGAAATTCCAAATCTGTTCACAGTACACTTATTGCACATCATTTTTTATCAGCTTTATTGAGATATAACTGACATATAACATTGTATAAATTTAAGATATACAATGTTTTGATCTGATGCATTTATATATTGTAATATGACTACTACCATAGTGTTAACACTTCTATAATGTCACATAATTGCCATTTCTTTTTGTGGTGAGAACATTTAAGATAGAATCTCCTAGAAAATTTTATGTATGTAGTACAGTATTGTTATCTATAACATAGAGTTTGTCTTTCTTTTCTGACTTATTTTCCTTAGCATAATGCCCTCAAGGTCCACTCATGCTGTCACAAATAGCAGTATTTCCTTCTTTCTCATGGCTAAATAATATTCTGTTATATATGTACAAATAATACAGATACATATATATAACATATGCACATATATGTATATACATATATATTATGTAAATGGAATATTATATATATTATAGTTTTATACATTATTATATAATATGTATGTTAATATATATATATCATCTTTATCTGTTCATCCATTAATGGACACTTATGTTGTTTCCATAATTTGGCTATTATAAATAATGCTGCAATGAACATGGAAGTGCAGATGTATCTTTGATATCTTGCTTTGCTTTTCTTTTCTTTTTTTCTGCTTTTCTTTTCTTTGCATATATACCCAGAAGTAGAATTATTGAATCATATGGTATTTCTATTTTTACTTTTTTAAAAAAGATTTTATTTATTTATTTGAAAGAGAGAGAATGAGAGAGTGAGAGAGAGAGAGAACATGAGAGGGAGGAGGGTCAGAGGGAGAAGCAAACTCCCCGCTGAGCAGGGAGCCTGATGCAGGATTTGACCTGAGCCAAAAGCAGTTGCTTAACTAATTGAGCCACCCAGGTGCTCCTCTATTTTTAATTTTTTGAGGAACCTCCACACTGTTTTCCAGTGGCTGTACCAGTTTGCATTCCCACCAGCAGTACACAAGGGTCCCCTTTTCTCCATGTCCTTGCCAACACTTAATCTCTTGTCTTTTGGTTGATAGCTATTCTAAGATGTGAGGTTATATCTCATTGTGGTTTGATTGCGTTTCCCTGATAATTAATGATGACCATCTTTTCATGTACCTGTCAACCATTTTTTATGTCTTCTCTGGAAAAATGTCTATTTAGCTCCTCTGCTCATTTTTCAACTGGATAGTTGTTGGTGGTTATTGAGTTGTATGAGTTCTTTATATATTGTAGATATGAACCCCTCTATGAATCATAGTATCTAAATACCTTACTTAAGCAGATACTAAAAGCTCTGAAACAAGAAAGAGACAATAATACAATAATAGTAGGGGACTTCAATACCCTACTTCCAGCAGTGGATATGTCATCCAGATGGAAAATCAAATCAATTATATTCAAGTTGTAGCTGTCCCACAGTCCTTGGATATTCTGTTCTAATTCTTTTCAGTTTTTTGTTTTTTTGTTTTTTTTTTTTTGCTTTTTGCTTTTCAGTTTTGGAAATTTATACTTTCATATCCTCAAGCTCAGATATTCTTTCCTCAGCTGGTTCTACTCCACTTATGAGCCCATCAAAGATATTCTTCATTTCTGTTATAGTGTTTTTGATCTCTAGCATTTCTTTTTGATTATTTCTTAGAATTTCCACCTCTCTGCTTATACTAGCTATCAGTTATTATGTGTTGTCTACTTTTCTATTAAAGATCTTAGCATATTAATCATAGTTTTTTGTTTGTTTGTTTGTTTGTTTGTTTAGAATTACTGGTCTGATAATTCCAACATGCCTATCATATCCGACTCTGGTTCTGAGACTTGTTCAGTCTCTTCAAACTCTGTTTTTTTATCTTTTAGTCAGCCTTGTAATTTTTTGTTGAAAGGTGGACATGATGTATAAGGTAAAAGGATTGGTAGTAAATAGTCCTTTAATAAGGTAGTGATAAAATGTAAGTGGGGAGGGGAAGTGCTCTGTAATCCTATGATTAGGTCTCAGTCTTTTGGTGACCCTGTGCTTGTCAACTGTGAACTTCAGTGCTTCTCAATTTGTTCCTTCTTTAGGTGGCTCAGGATGGCTGAAGGAGTCTAGAGTTGTGTATTTTATATCTTCCAGGTAGGTTAAGCTCTGATATAGTCTGATATGTTTTTTTTCTCTTAGACTTGCCCATATTGCACCTTCAGCAGTTTGCCAATTATAATTCAGGTCTCCCTACCCTGGCACTGGTACCTGTAGAAGTTTCTACTCTGGTACGTTGTGATTCTCTGTATTTGCTTTCTGTCTGTACAATTTTCAGGGCAGCGATTTCCCCTATAGCCTCATTTGTCTGACAGATCTAAGATGAGTTGTTGATTTTTCAGTGTGTTCAGCTTTTTTACTTGCTGTGAGGATGGAGCGAGGACTGGAAACTGGAAGTTCCTTTTCAAAGTGTTTTAAATTGGTGAATGGACTGATTCTTGGAAAGAGTGGGAAAAAGCGGGAAAGCTTTTGAGGCTAAAATTTGGTATGTGCATAGGTAAAATATGTTACACAGTAGAGGGGGAGAAAGAAATGAGGTCCTGCCTGACACAAAAAATTGAGACTTTTTTGGATGACTGAGATCCTGAGGATGGGACCTGATTTCATTGAGGATGTAAAATAGAGTACTCCACCACCCTAGTTCCCCTCACTTATTCCACAAACATTTAGGCACTGGAGAGACAAATGAATATATCTCTGCCTAAAGAGTTCACAATATATTAGACACTGTTGGTTGCCTACCTGGCTTCTAGACTCATGGCCTTCCTTTATTTCTTCAAGGGCACCATGCTGCCTTCCATGTCAGAGTCTTTACTCTATTTGCTCTCACTGGCACGCTCTCCCTGCCTGCTTAGCCCTTCCCCTAGACAAGTCTCTCTTATCTAGCACAGACACTGGTGGTTGCCCACATGCCATCTAACCTTCACATTCATCCCAACTTTTTAGTTATTCACTCCTTCTCCACACAATCATGTGCACCAGAGATAGAAACTACCTCTTCAGCCCAAGGGAAGGTCCTGGCTTAAGTTTGTCATGGAAATCCCATTTCCTTCAGTCAGTAGTTAGTTTAGGAGAGTGTATTTGACCTAATTCTGGTTGAGAAGGCATGAGGAGAAGCCTGTCAGAGGAGTTCTGGGAGGGGTTTCTATGCTTCTATGAAGGAGATGTAAGAAAAATCTGTTTCTTTCTTTCTCTTTCCGCAGTCCTGTCTGAATGTGAGACCTGGAACTTCGGTAGCCATTTTACCAGCTTTACCAGAGGATGAAGCACACACTTGAAGGAAGACAGCCAAAATAGCTACACAGAGGTGGGAATGGGGATATACAGTATGGGGAAGCTTCTGGACTTCATGTTTTGTGAGATAAAAAATTTCCTTATTGGGGTACCTGTGTTGCTCAGTTGGTGAAGCATCTGACTCTTGATTTCAGCTCAGGTCAGGACCTCAGGGTCATGAGATTGAGCCCCGTGTTGGGCTCCATGCTCAGTAGCGTGTCTGCTTGATATTCTCTCCCTCTGTCCCTCCCCCTGCTTTCTCTCTCTCTCTCTCTAAATATATAAATAAATAAAATAAAATCTTTTAAAAATTTTCCTTACTGTTAGATTTAGAGTTTCTGTTGAGGCCAAAGTATCATCATTGTATATCATTCTTCATCAAACAGCTCAAAAGCTGCTTCCTCAGGGAAGCCTTCCCTGAGCCCCCACTTTCTTCTTATTAGTCCTATCCTTTTATTTTATGCTCCTGTAGCTTCTTGGACTTTCCACCTATAGCATTTGCCATAATTCAAATTATTTATTTCTGTGATTATTTGATCAATGCCTGATATTCCCACTAGACCATTAACTCTAAGAGAGACCTTATGTCTGTCTTGCTCATCACTGTATTACCAGTGCACTAAATAGTGTCTGGTACATAGTACATGCTCACGAATATTTCTAGAATGAATGGATAAACACACAAACCTGTATGTAAGGCTCAGTGGAAGCCAGAAGAAAGGCCACACTTAAGCCACACTAGAAGAATAAGGAAAGGTCTCACAGTGGAGGTGAAATTTAACCTAAATTTTGAAGGAGGAGGAAGAATTTTCTAGGTTTAAAAGACAGTAGGGAAGAGTATTCCAGGCAGCTGTGCAGAGACAGCTGCAAGAGATTTCAGTTCAAATGTGTCCTCAAAATCATCTTTAACATAAAGGGGTATTTTTGTTTATAAAATGTTTCCTGTTTCCTAGTTTCAATTCCTGAACAGTGAAATTACCCTCAGTGTCACCCAGTTTCTCCATGGAATTCCTTCTTTCACATAAATTCCCTGTACCAATATTCACTTGCTCACCTTTTAGTAGTGGGCTGGAGGGAGAAATAGAGACCAGTGAAGATACTTTGTGACATGTCATTCTCGTGACCTGTGGAGTTATTCCGATTAACCAGCCAAGCAGCTAATATTCTCCAAGTCAAATCAGAGCAATGGAACAGGAATCCCCGCTGCCAAATATGGGTAAATTCCAGTCCAAGTTACCTCAGATCTATTATGAGTTTGGGGGAAAGTCAAATCTTTAGACCATTATATCCAGGAAACCCAATCATCTTTAGTCGGCACCAGCTGCCGTAGCCCATAATATGTCATGTCGTATATAACACTTCAGAAATTGTTGCAACTGCATCCAATACTTCTGTCCGTCCTTTCCAGGGCAGAAATAATTTCTGACAGAGAAGGAAACAGCCAGGCCAGGGGGTGCTGGCTTGGAATGCTGTCTTCTAGCAACAAAATATGATACGTAAGAGGTCTAGCTGAGTTTGAATATAAGCCACTGCAAATTCTTTATGTCTAAAGTGTAACTGATTCCACAAACTAGGCCAGTATCACTAGCTTATCATCTTACCGTCAGGCTTGTGACCTTGGTCACAATCACTAAATGTCTCCAGGAAAACAAGTGATGATTTCATCTGCCATCTATGTACTTTCCAAATGGAGCTCTCCATTCCAGGAGAGCTTGTCTGTCCCAAGCTGTGTGTATGCATATACATCCTGCTGCCAAGTGGACTAACTTGGGGGCAATTCAAATTCAGTCTGTTCAAAAGTGGATTTGTTTTCTTGCCCGCAATCTTGTTTCTGCTGTTGTGGTTTCTCTCCTTGTACTTGGAATCAATGTTAATGTATCTTTCCCAAGTAGAAACCCAGGAGACATCTTAAACATCTCCTTCCTTCTTCATGTGCCATGGGTCCTCAGGTCCTCTAGACCTGGCTTCTAAATATCTCTCCTCTCCTTGTCCCTCTCCCAAGCATTCTCATTCAATCCTTCCTAATTTCTCATCTGACTGCTTGCAGTAAATAGATTCACAACCTCATAAGGGAATTTATGGTCTTGCTCATTTACAATTCCGTCCACAATGTAGCCCAGTGCATCTTTAAATAATGAATATCTGATCAAGCCTCTTTAGTACTTAAAAACTTTTAAATGGTTCCTCATTGCTTTCAAGATAAAAATATCCGCTCTTTAGTGCAACATACATTTCGACATTTCATGACTTGGCCCCATCTCTGTCTCCAGCTTCATATATCTCTTTTTCCCTAATCTACCCTCTTCCTCTACAACCTCTGTTATTATAACTGATAATAGTTAACATCTGTTGAGTACTTACTTTCAGCTAGAAACTATACTAAATGCTTTACATCAATATTTTTCAAACTTTTCTGATGAGGCATATCACCTGGGATCTTTGATAAAAATATAGTTCCTGGTCCTTATCACAGACCCACTGAATTATAATCTTTGGGGAATGAGTCTAGGCAGTTGTATTAAAATACACACATTCAAAGAACTAGAACAAATTCTAAAATTTGTATGGAATCACAAAAGGCCCTGAAGAGCCAAAGCAATCTTAAAAAAGAAAAGCAAAACAATTCCAGATTTCAAGTTATATTACAAAGCTGTAGTAATCAAGACAGTATGGTACTGGCATAAAAATAGGCAAACAGATAAGTGGAACAGAATAGAAAGGCCAGATATAAACCCACAAGTATATGGTCAATTAATCTTTGACAAAGCAAGAAAGAATATGCAATGGGAAAAAGTCTCTTCAACAAATGGAATTGGGAAAACTGGTCAGCAACAATAAAAAAAAAAAAGATAAAAAGAAACTGGACCACCTTCTTACACCATACACAAAATTAAATTCAGAATGGATTAAAAATCTAAATATGAGACCTGGAATCATAAAAATCCTAGAAGAGAACACAGGCAGTAACTTATTTGACATCAGCCATAGCAACTTCTTTCTAGATGTATCTCCTGAGGCAAGAGAAACAAAAGCAAAAATAAACTATTTGGACTTCATCAAAATAAAAAGCTTCTGCACAGAGAAGGAAACAATCAACAAAACTAAAAGGCAACCTATGGAATGGGAGAAGATATTTGCAAATGACATACCTGATAAAGAGCTAGTATCCAGAATCTATGAAGATGTTCTAAAACTCAACACCCAAAAAACAATCCAGTTACAAGATGGGCAGAAGACATGAGTAGACATTTTTCTAAAGATGACATCCAGATGGCCAACAGACACATGAAAAGATGCTCAACATCACTCATCATCAGGGGAATGCAAATCAACACCACAGTGAGGTATTGCCTCACACCTATCAGAATGGCTAAAATTAGTAACACAAGAAGTAACAGGTGTTGGCAAGGATGTGGAGAAAAAGGAGCCCTCATGCACTGTTGGTGAGAATGTAAAGTGGTACAGTCATTGTGGAAAACAGTATGGAGGTTCCTCAAACAGTTAAAAATAGAATTACCCTATGATCCAGCAATTGCACTAATGGGTATTTACCCAAAGAATACAAAAACACTAATTTAAAGGGATACATGCACCCCTGTGTTTATAGAAGCATTATTTACAATAGCCAAGATATGGAAGCAGTCCAGGTATACAAAGAAGATGTGTGTGTGTGTGTTTATATATATATAAATATAAATATATAATATATTTACATATTAAATATATATAATATATTTATATATTATATATAATTATTACATTATATATAATATATTATTATATGTAAATAAATATAATAAAAAAATATATATAAACACACACAATGGAATATTATTCAGCCATATAAAGTGAAATCTTGTCATTTACAATGACATGGATGGAGCTAGAGTGTATTATGCTAAGTGAAATAAGTCAGTCAGAGAAAGACAAATACCATATGATTTCACTCATATGTGGAATCCAAGAAAACAAATGAGCAAAGGAAAAAGAGAGAGAGAGGGACAAATCAAGAAACAGACTCTTAATCAGAGAGAACAAATTGATGGTATGTTAACTGGAATTGAAATAAAAACTTAAAAAGCCAAAAAAAAAAAAAGATGTATGTGTGTGTGTGTATATACACACGCACACACACACATAAACTTAACTTAAAAAACTTAAAAACAACATGCACACAAATCAACGTGTGACTCATTTGAGAAGTTTGGGAAAACATTGCTTTACATGAACTTTAATTCTCATAAAAATTTAATGAGATGAGAACTGTTACTAGTCTCACTTATAGATAGAAAAACTGAAGCTTCAGGGAAGATGTTATATGTTCAAATACACAGTTAACTGTCATCATTATAGTTTGAACCTAGGCATCCAGTCCCAGAATTTACGCCACTGTAAATGGTGTAAAAGCTGGTCCATGATTTTTCACTTTAAGTCAACACATGCACTCTGTTCACCCTCAGTTCTCTGTGCCTCTTCTGTCCTTCGACTTGGACAGCTATGTTCCCGTCTTTGCCTGAAAAACTACAATTGACACCCATTGAACTCAGTCTGAAGCTTTGATCAATCTTCCCAGTCTGCTTGGTTGCCTTCCTATGAACCATTCTGTTAATATAACATATCATCATCTATATCCTTATCTGTTCCCCTACCAGACTATAAGCAGGCATGTCTCAAGTCTTTCTCTGTCCTTAATCTAGCAGAGTGCATGACATATACCAGCTATATGATAAATATCTGCTGAATGAATAAAAGTATAATAAGTCACTGTAGCTTGGCAAATGCCTAGGGTTTAGATGTTGTAAATGGATGAAACTAGGGTCACTACAGAAAATTATTTTTGGCTATTGAATGCTGCCTTTTAGAATCAGGCCGTGCCTCTGTTGAACTCACCTGTTCAATAGGAGTACTTTACGAGAGATGGGATTGAGAACCCAACCCATTCCTTTTAGTTCAAAGACACTAATCATACACGATATATTACCATAACCTTGATCAAGACCAGACGATAGGAAAGGACAACAAAGGCCCAGAAAAAGGCAGGTTGTCAGGGAAAGGGGAGTCTGGGCTGGTGATGTGGACTCACTACCGGAGTTTAGAGAATCAGAGGTATGTGCTGACGTGGGCTCACAGCACCTATGATCTAGCCTCCCAGTGCCATGGACACCCAGTGAGTTCAAAGTAGAAGTAACACATGGATGGAAGAAGAGTTTTCATTTGGTCTTAAGGCAACAGGTAGAGCTCCACAGTGGTGACAGTCATTAACACTTTAAAAATAAAAGGGCTGGTTAGGTCCCCACAAGTATCAACTAAAAATCTATGTATTACCATGATTTCAGTAAATGGTAATTTGCTTTCAGCAGGGGTAGGGAAGGGACTGGGCTTAACAGGAGCGGGACATTCATGGCTGGCAGTGACATCTGTGTTCCACCACTGGGGACAAGGAGTGGCCATAGAGGAAGGCAAGATCAGCCGGTGAAGCTGTTTTGAGGTTAGCAGACACTGTGTCTGTGTTTGGAGAGTTGCGTGCACCTTGGTTGTACCTTTCCTAGTTATTAGTTGAAGGCAAGGAATGAGAACTGATTCACAGACAGGTGTAAGCTATTCTGGAAGTCCTTAGGAATGTTTACTTAGGGCAAGAGAAACTTAGCGAGACTAGGTTTTTTTCTTAATTTGACATGTTTGGGTTTGGTGTCGTAATTCAGCTGTTAAAGAAAATGTTGAGATCACATGGTGTTGAGGTCTGAAAATTTGGATAATAGAAATCTATAATAAAACTGAATAAAACAGATCTTTGAAAATATGAAGCCTTCTTCCAATCACGCCAGAGACAGTTACATGCAGTCATGAAAACTGAGATTCTACAGGCAACAGAGCAGAAACATGTTTTATTTGAGACAGATTTTATTTGAAACACAACCTTTATTTGAAACAAAAGCTTTATTTAAAAAAGGCTTTATTTGAAAAAGTTTTATGTGATACAAAACTATTTGTAGGCATTCTGGAGACTCTCATATACAGGCAAAAGAAATTAGATCATACATGCAATAGAGCAGAAGAAATGCTTTATTTGGAAAGAACACTGCTAAAACATCTAAAAAATTGGCATTATATATGATTATGAAGAAGAGAAAAGCAATCCAAGAAAGATGACATGTTCAATGTGAAAGAAATTAATATGTAAATGACATGGATCCTGGTCTGTGAAGACAACCTTGCCATATCTTATAATTGGAATCTTAACTGAAATTATAGACAGGATATTCAGTTTCTGTTCTGGATACTCTGCCTTAAGATACGAAGCCTTGACATCACTACATCCCAGTCGGCATAAGCTCCTTCTAGATGGCGGGATATCTCAGTTCCTGCTTCATAGCTACGTCGGCCATGAAGTAAGCGCCAGTTATCGAAAGTAATCACATCACCTAGACAAAAGATTTTTTTCAACATGAATAATGATGAGTTTAAATGATTTGCAGAGCTAGAAAATGTAAAATGCAAAATAACATTGCTACTTTGTTCACATCAAGAAACAGTTATGTTTCTTTATTTGTTTGTCTGGGTTTTTTGTTTCAAGTTTTTATCTAAATTCTAGTTAGTTAACATATAGTGTAATGTTAGTTGCAGGAGTAGAATTTAGTAATTCATTACTTTCATACAACACTAGGTGCTCATCACAACAAGTGCCTCCCTTAATACCCATCACCCGTTTAGCCCATCCGCCCATACCCCTCTGCTCCAGCAACCCTCAGTTTGTTCTCTATAGTTAAGAGTCTGTTTTATGGTTTGCTTCCCTCTCGATATTCCCCCCCCCATATTCATCTGTTTTGTTTCTTAAATTCCACAGGTGAGTGAAATCATATCGTATTTGTCTTTCTCTGACTGAAAGCTATACATTTACTTTTTCACAGAAATCAGGCCATTGGACACAAACTGCTTTAGACCTTTTGACATTTAAAGTACAGGCATCTGTAGACACTTTTATAGTGTCTACTTAAAATATTATCTTCGTGTAAAACTTTGAATTGTTCTTCCTTGTTGTTATTTAGCTCTTACTTAGAAGTGTTTATTTCCAGTTTAACAGCTTCAAATAATTTTAAGGATAGTGACTTGGTTTGTCTTCTATGTTGCCAGTATTTTGTGTACATTATTTCTAAGCCTCATAAAAATCCTGAAAAGAGTTTTAGCTCATCTTTTTGTGTGAGGAAACTGAGGCTCCAGGAAGCTGAGGAATTTGCCTGAGGCTACACTACCATTAAATAGTGGAGCTTGGATTCCAACTTCTATTTTTTGGTATTTTTCTCTCCTGGTATTTCAATTTCACATGTTATTGCTTTTAAAATCAGCCTGTGGTGACTGCATATCAGTGGATTTATAGAGATTTCTAGTATTACTTTATCATGCCAAAGATCAATTCAAAAGATAATCAGAAGTTAAAAGTATCTCCCACTTGGCCAAATCAACAGTAGAGAGAAATCCTGCTTTTTACTAATAGATATGGAAAGGCTCAAGTTTGAAGTCGCTTCACTGAGTAGAGACGGTCCCGAACAAATACAATGCTTTCTGTTCCTTTATTTCACGTAGCTGGACTACTTCCAATACTGCTTTATTTCAGGTGGCACTATCTCTGCCAGATCAGGTAAGTTAAATGAGTAAATGTGACTCATGTACTTCATGAGTGAGAATCATGGGGATAATTTTATTTGTTTACTGGGATAGAAGAATCAAATAGAAACCTCAGTTCATATTGACTGGCTATCAGGACAGAAAATAAAAGTCATCAGTCTTGACCTCAGACATGAGATTTCATTTGGCTTGTAGCTTGTCTTTCACATATTTCTTCTTTAGGTTGGAGGTTATTAAATTTCGGTGTGCTTAAAGATTCCCTAAGAGTTTGTAAAGAATGAGTATTTTTAAGTTTGGAGACGCAACAGAGCAGGGGTGGGGGCTGCTCACAAAGATTCTGTTATAAGTGTTCCACATGCCACATTTGAGAAAAACTGCTCGAGATAATGCTCTACATGGTTAAGGTTGAAGAACATCCATGTTTTCAATTGTTTAAGAAAATGTGCTCACTGACCTGGATTCATCTTGAAAGTAAACTTGGATTCTTTACAGTTCATGAGATCAACAAACTCCTTCAGAGCAGCATAAAAAGGCTGAACTCTTTCAACAGGTACATCAAATACCGTGTCTCTGGTTGCATTATTGAAGTTGATGCGAACCACTTGGCCTTTATCATCTAATCTGTTTTTTAAAGAGAAAAAAGTTAAAAAGCCATGAAGTATTTATTTACATTTCTGAGGGTCAATTTGTCTTGGAAGATGTGTCTGAAATATAGTATTGAAGAATCCAAAAACATGTACAAAAGGTATTATGGCTATCTGTGGTATGATGTATTCATTTGTTCTTTATTCATTCATTTAGCAGTTTTTAAAGGATTTTAAATCCAGTATAGTTAACATACAGTGTTATATTAAGCTTTATGTGTATAATATAGGGATATGGCAATTCTATGCATCATCCAGTGCTCATCAAGATAAGTGTGCTCTTAATCCCCTTTACCTATTTTGCCTACTTCCCCGCCCCCCTCCCCTCTGGCAACCATCAATTTGTTCTCTGTAGCTAAGAGTCTGTTTCTTGGTTTGTCTCTTTTTTCCTTAGTCTTGTTTCTTAAATTCTACATAGTGTAATTACTGCATTGTGGGGTAATTCTATTTTTAACTTTTTGAGGAACCTTTGTACTGTTTTCCACAGTGGCTGCACCAGTTTGCATTCCCACCAACAGTGCATGAGGGTTCCTTTTTCTCCGCCTTCTCATCAACACTTGCTGTTTCTTGTGTTTTTGATTTTAGCTATTCTGCCAGATGTGAGGTGATAGCTCATTGTGGTGTTGATTTGCATTTCCCTGATGATTAATGATGTTGAGTATCTTTTCACGTTGGCCATCCACTTAGCAGGTATTTTTTGAAGACTTACTACTACATAAATGCCAGAATGATTCAAATTAATTTAAAATAAATGTTACTGAAAGATTCCAGTTAAATTTTTTTTATATATTTCGGGAAATGAATTCATTCTTCATTTTTTAAAATAGTAGCTTTTATATATTAAAGTATTTTTAATGTTACAAGTTCATGGGTCAATCAGTTTATTAGGGTTTTAAGTATAATTTTTTTGAAGCATGATTGGGAAGAAAAATCTATTTTCTAAAAGTTTGAAATTCACTCTTCTAATTCAATCCCTAGTTTACAGGTAGGGAAACCAAGACACAGAGAAAAGAAGAATCTAGCCTGGGATATGTTTTTTTGTATCTCTCTATCTATACTATGTATCTTAGTATATAGGCTTCTAAAAGACCAATACTCTATCTCATTTAATGTTGTATTCTCAGCATTTAACATAGAACCTGCACATAGTAGGAAGTTAGTAAATATTCATTGCATATGTGATTCTCTATACTTTTTTCAGTACCTTGGGAGAATACCAAGGTCTTTTTAGTACTATTGAGATAGTATATTGTGATCTCTCTATCCTTCCTTAGAATATGCATCATGATCATGACAATGTAAGATAATATTACTTTCAATGTAAAAAAAATACCATTATTTTTTAATTTAAGCTATGCTCATTATCAGTAGCACAGCATGAGCACTGTCTATACACAGAAGCAAAAGGAAGATATATTTTTAAACTTATTGGGAAGGTAAACTTTCAGCCAGTCCTAAAGCATCTACCAACTCTATCCTTTCTTTAGATTGAAAAAAGGAAGGATGGATAAAAACTGAAGGTGGGCAAGGGTGGTGGCAAAGTGCCTAGAGTTGTTCCTGGGCCAGCCCAGGAGGTGGTAGTATGATCCTACAGCTCTCGGGGATCCAGACCTGATGGGTCAAACCACAGAGACAGTCGCATGTACCCAAGGGCTTAGTGACACTGATTTGGAGTCTAGATCACACTTAGCTGACCAATCACACAGAGTAAACCATTATCAACAAGCAGGGTCTAGGAGGAAAATGTGATTGCCTATGCTATATAAATTGTGGCTCTCTGGGTCCCTGTGCTTTGTGACTCAGATTAATATTCAATCCTCTGAGCCAAAGGCAATTATAATGGTAAACTCTAAAAACTGGTCATTAGCCCCAGTGCTTTGCATTTTGGTAGTGATGGAAAATTACCTATTGAACCCACCCTGGGGAAAGAAAGTGAAAGAAAGGAACAGGTTTTCAATAAGGCTCTTGGACTCTTAAAACCAGAATTTACATATATTGATTAAAAAGCAAATATGACTGAATAAGCAAGGAGTGCCCTCCCTCCTTCCCCATCCTCTCCACATAGACAAAGAATACTCTGTGGCCTGCAGGTTGTGGCTTTGTGAACAAAGAATCAAGGAAAAGGTCAGTCAGCAGAAGAGACTGTGGGCCTCCAGGTTTGAATGGCACAAAGGGCAGTACCTGACCTTTCAATTGCCCTGTTAGAGTTTACACTGCGGGTTTCAGACCCTTTCAGTTTGAGGCCATTTTGTCTTTTAATCTTAGGATTCTAGCCTTATGGTTCCCAACTCACTTTCCCTCCTCTCTCCTTTTTCCCTTATTCTATTTTCTGTACATATAATGATGACACCCTTTGTGTCATCCTCTGTGTTACAGACAAAGTTGTCATGACTTTGAAACTTCTTGGAGGTCTTCTGCACAAGCACTCTGGTAATCTGTTTCTTTTTTTAATTAACGCTAGAATTCCTTGATGGAAATTGTTATGCTAGTAATGAGCTCTCTCTTTTAGAGTCCGTGTGTGTATCCTCACATATCATGAAAAGAATTTTGTGACTCATCAACTTAAGGAAAATCAGAATTGTGTGCCCCATGGACCATTGTATTACACTTTCATTTCCAAAGAGTTCACATATGTAGATAATAATAAATATTTTCTCTCTCTCTCTTTCTCTCTCTCTGTGTGAGAGAAAGAGAGAGAGATCAAGAGAGAAACAGTCTGTCTCCTTTCGCCTGGTGTTTACTTTCTATCTGAGAAAACAAGACACAAATTCATTATTTAGCATTTTCAGCAATGACATGAGGGGAAAAGAAAGAAAATTTAGTTTTGAGGTCTAGAGAAGACATTATTCTAAGGATTGAACAATGTTAGAGGAGATGATTGGTTGACATCTTGAAGATCAACCTAAAACGCAAACTTGAGTCTCAGTAAGCGTTCTGTGTGCAGCCACAGAACGAAAGGGAGGTCCCAATGCAGGGCTACACGCTCAGGAAGGGTAAAAAGCCTCCAAAGACAAATAGTTAAGTGGTTACATTCTAGCAATACATAAGGGGCACACATTTAAACGTTAACGAGCAGTCTGCTGACTGCAAATCAGCAAAAGCAAAATGTCATCAGTGATGCCAACAAAGGAACCCAGTGAAAGGACTGTAGAATCATTTCCTGCAATCAGATTTGGTGCCATGAATACTCCTTGTTAGTTACAATGGTCTGTCTCATTGAGAGTTGTGATATTTGATGGGACTACTTGATTTTGTTGTGGGTATGTCACTGTGGGGTTGCTCACCACATCACATTTTACTGGAATCTGCAGGAAAAATTTATTTCACACTTTAGAAGTGTCTTGAATCTTGCAAATGGATTATGTTGCCTCCTTGCTTTGGTCTGTAGAAACTCAGAGCTGAAACTGAAATCTATCACTAGTAGTTGTGTTGGACTTTATAGAATTTTAGCTAGCTAAAAAATTTATTCTGCTCTTTCAGAGCCAGGCACTGTGGTAGGGGAGTCTATCTATTGTCTCTATAATTCCCACTTTGGTTGTATGTGGTAGGCATTAATATTATGACTGTAGCTTAGCAAGTCTGAGTCATTAGACCATAATTGCACCACTAATGAGGCAAGGAGTAGGAACGGTATTCATGGGATTGAACTTGTAAGCATGAGGATGCACTGCTGTAGCTTAGTCTCACCATTATTATTTTTCCTAGTTTCTTTATCTGTTTATTTTTCATTATACTTCATTGTACCCTAACTCTGCCAGCAACCTCCAAGATCTTTTTATACTAGATAGGACATAAACATCTCAAAGGAGTTAAACATTTAACCATGAGGAATATTAAATTAACCCAAACATCCAGGCAACCAAGTCCCTCAATTAATTGAAAACCCTATTCGTTTCACCCCCTGTTGTTAAAAATACATTTTTGAGTGGATTAACATTAACCACTTGATATTCTCTAGGGATATCCCCCGAGACCTTAACACTTGACAATGACCAAATTCTGGAATTCTACTACAAAAAATAACAAAGACAAATTATGATTCAGATGAGGAGCATTCAATTAATCTCACTCAATAACTAAGGGTTTGTTTATTTGTTTTGCCTTCGTTCACTAGCCTTGCAGAATCTGCAATTATATTCTGCCACAACAAAATTATGCCATCTGTTGTGGATTTTTAAGGTAATTTTTGAATAGTTAAAACTGTCATGTTAAAACTAGGAATCCAAGTTATTTCTTCTCTTTTCCACCTTGGTGACTGACCTCTCAGAGAACAGCATTCTGAACTAGAATTTATTTTTGATGGCTATCTTTCTCTCACACCCTTCATCCCATCTGTCAGGAAAATATGCTGTTTCCCATAACACATTCTTTTTTTTTTTTTTAAAGATTTTATTTATTTATTTGACAGAGAGAGACAAAGTGAAAGAGGGAACACAAGCAGAGGGAGTGGGAGAGGGAGAAACAGGCTTCCCGCGGAGCAGGGAGCCTGATGCGGGGCTCGATCCCAGGACCCTGGGACCATGACCTGAGCCGAAGACAGACCCTTAACGACTGAGCCACTCAAGCACCCCCCCATAACACATCCTTAAACACTCCTCCACACTGCCTCTACCACCACATGGGCTACTCATGTTCAAGTTACCCTCACCTCTAGCCTACTGTCCTGCGGTGGCTTCCTGACTGGTCTTCCTGTTCCTGCCCTTGCTCTTCTTCACCATATTCTGCACAACAGCCAGGGTGACCCATTTAAAATATAAATAAATTTATATAAATATAAATGTCTCTCTTCTGCTCGAAATCTCGCAGCAGCTCCCTATTTCACTAAGAGTGAAAGGCAATATGTTTTTAAACCATGGATAACAAGGCTTGACATGAACTTACTCCCGTCTGACCTCCTGTCTTAAAACTCTGCTCCACACCAGCCTCCTTGCTGTCCTTTGAACACACCAGAAGTGTTCTTAGAGCCTTCTTAGGACACTTGCTCTAGCTGCTTCTGGAAACTGCTCCTCTTCTGGACAAACTCCTTCAGTCCTTTAAGTTTTTAAAGATTAAATTTTAAGATATGCTCAAATATCACCTACTCAGGAAATCTTTTCCTCACCATACATGAATAATGGAAGTTCCATCTTCCCTAAGTCTGTGGTTCTATGGATTCCCCTTATTCTGCCCTACTTCTTCTTTTTTCTTAAATACTTAAAAAATGTTTTAACGGTCACTGTAATTTACTCATTTGTTTTAAAATCTCGAATTTCTTCTTCCCCCATTAGACTTTAAGCTACGTGAGGGCAGGAATCTTTGTTTTGTCCATGGATGTATCCCAACCACCAAGAAGAGTAGCTGCTTTCAATAAAAACTTGTTGAATGAATAAATGAAGGCCATATGTTTATATAAGAAAGATGAGTTTGTATATTGGGGGTTTCATTATTTGTTAAATGAATTAATTTTCATATTATGTGGCTTCTACTAAAAGAAGAATACAAACTCAACTCTAAAGTTGGAAACATCCCTATGACCCAGCAACTGAACTACTAGGTATTTACCCAAAGGATACAAAAATACAGATTTAAAGGCATACATGTACCCCGATGTTTATAGCAGCATTATCAACAATAGCCAAATGTCTGTCGACTGATGAATGGATAAGGAAGATGTGGTATATATACACATTGGAATATTGCTCAACCAACAAAGAGAATGAAATCTTGCCATTTGCAACGACGTGGATAGAGCTAGAGAGTATTAAGCTGAGTGAAGTAAGTCAGGCTGAAAAAGACAAATACCATATGATCTCACTCATATGTGGAATTTAAGAAAGAAAAAAGATGAACATATGGGAAGGAGTGGGGATAAGGGAGAGAGGGAAATAAGCCATAAGAGACTCTTAAAGATAGAGAATAAACCGAGGGTTGATGGAGGGAGGTGGATGGGGGATGGGCTAGATGGGCGATGGGTATTAAGGAGGGCACTTTTTGTGATGAGCACTGGGTGTTGTATGTAAGTGATGAATTACTGAATTCTACTCCAGAAACCAATATTGTGCTATATGTTAACTAAGTAAAATAAATAAATAAATAAGATAAAATAAAAATTGGAAACACCCCAAAATTCATGAACTGAGGTCTGATTAAATAAATCAATTCCAAGAAAGCACAAGGTAAGATAATTCTTGAATAAAAGGATAAATCTGTGGCCTTTGTAGATACTTAGAAAAATTATGTTAAAATAATGTTAAGTGAAAAAATAATAAAATGTCCTATGTAGGGAAATATGATTTTTGTTGGCATCAATTTAGGCAGACATTCCTGTTTCATTCTCACAAATGAGACTGATTTTGCTTCGGAGATGAACATGTAATCGAGGAATGGCCGGTTGAATTCTCTGACTTCCTGGCCATGGTGAATACTTCAAGGATGGACTTAAATACAAATCTGGCAGTGAGTCATCTAGTTTTGTTGTAACTATTGGGAAATAAGGGCTTTCTGTGTATGTGATTACCAGCTCTGAGGACAATGAAAATGCAGAGCTTCTACTGACATCTTTGAAAAGGAAACCAACACAGAGGATGGCAAAGCTAAGAGATGAAGAAAAAAGAGATCAATATCAGATGACATTGCTTATCTATCAGCTCTACCTAATTTGAATTAGATTCTTTTCCCTTCTGGCTGAAGGATTCTGACTACTATAATCGTACTGATTATACTTATGTAGAACTTGTATGTGAAAAAAATCAAATGTATATAAAGTCTTAGTTATTTCTCTCATAATAATTAGGAAGAGCGAGAGTTCATGGAATTTGATAATGATTTTTTTTATGGTGAAAATATTCTGTTTTTTCTTTTTCCCTCTAAAATTGGATTAAACTGTTAATAAAAAATAAGCTCTGGAGTTAATTGAAGCTTTCTTCTAAGTTTTAGGTTTAGGGTAATGAAGCTTTTGCAGTCAGCTATTTAATTGCTATGAGAAATGTATAAATAGTACTTACTCTATAATCTTGTGTTTAGATTGTACAGAGAAATCACAGTAATCCACTCCAATGTCTGTAAAGTCCACAAAAGTGGAGGACAAAATCTGGAATGCGTGAGGATTTTTTTCCTTGAGCTTTCGGCATACGTTAAACCCATCTACAATTTCTGAATCACCCCCAGTGACTGTTTGTTTTATGCAGTGCAGAAACTGAACCTGTAAAAAGAAATAGAGAAATGCGTTTTAAAATGGTAAACATTTACATTTTTTAACACTGTTAAAGATTCAGAAAGTTATGAATGCACTAAAGTCAAAAAACCTCTTAAATCTCTTTTGTGTCAGCAAGGAAAGGGACTGGAGAGAAAAAAGTTGCTTTTAACCAGTATTCTGTAGTTCAAACATTGTTTCAGTGTGAGTCATGAACATAGGCATAATAATGTTCATTAGTAAACAAAAGGCACAGATCATAATAGCTGCAGGGAGCGAACACTTCGTGTTGGAGTATTTACTCGCTTCCTGTTGGTTTTACAGGGGAGATGGGATTTCAACTGGGCAAAGGAGGATGGATAAGATTTTGGATATGCAGAGCAGAATGGAGAGAGCAAATCAAGTGCAGTGATAAAGGATGTGCAAAAATGCACGCCTCACTAGGTATCAAAAAGTTTGGTTGCAATAGAGGTTCACGACTAAAAAGAATAAATCCAGTTGAAAAGGTCATTGAAGCCTTCATCATGGAGTCTTGAATGTCAGATGAAGAATATTGGACATTCTCTTGTGCACAGAGGGGAACTGTTAAAGGGTTTTACATTACAGATGTAATGTAGCCAAGACTGAGTTGAAGAATATCAGTCCAGTGGTGTTACATAGGATACATTTTTTTTAAAGGAGGGAATTAGTGAGACAGTGACTACTTGAGATTTTAAAGAGACAGTTCAGGTATAAAGGATAAGAAGGGAATGGAGGTTGGGTGGGGGCTATGGGGATGGATAAACCCAAGAAACACTGGGAATAAGAAACAAAAAGGATATTTATTTTTACTAAGATTTAGGGGGAAATGTTCAACATTATTTCATTTTGAAAAGCAAAAGATAGTAAAATATAGAAATATATTTTTTGGATGGGGTTTCTATGACTCCTTTAGTTAGTGTAAGTGAGTGATTTTGATTACCTAAGTTTAGAACCAGATTTTCTGCTTAAAGAAAGGAACACTATTCAGCTGTGACAACTTTATTCTGAGTTAAACAAAAATAAGAAAGAGGCAAATTTGATCAAACATCCAGAATAGGGGGAATATGAGTGGGAAAAATATCCACTTGGTTATTTCCATGAATGGTCTAGAACAGTGCTGTCCATTCGAACTTTCTGTGGTGACAGAAATGTTCTTATATAGCCCAATACATAGACACTAGTCCCACATGGCTTTTGTGCACTTAAAATGTGGTCAATGTGACTGAAGAACTGCATTTTAAATTTTATTTAAACATAATTAATTTAAATTAAAATTTAAATGATCATATATGGCTAGTGACTACTATATTGGGTAATGCAGATCTAGAACACAAATCCTACATTCTTCCCCAAACTGCACACATTTTCTCAATATTTTAAATCTCATACATACTTGTTCTCAAATTATGATTGTACATTTATCAATTCCTCACAACAGTCCTTAGAATTTCATACTTTCCTCTCCATTTCATGGTTGAAGAACCTGAGACCCAGAAGTGAAAAAGTTGGCCAGCTAGTAAGAACTCAGCTATACATGGCAAAACTGACATTCAAAGCTTTGTCTATTTGCCTCAAAATCATCGTACAGCAAGTTCTTTTCCTATAAAAGGGGGAAATTCTTTTATGGGACTCAATAGTTTAGTATCGTGTGGTGTGTGTATGTATGTGCTTTGTAAATTTAAATTCCCATTTCAGGTTGATTATGCCTTATTTTCTGATGTTAGGAGAGAACTGATCTACATTAATAATTGTTCCAACCTTAAACTGATGCCATTTTTTTAAGCTTGAAAAAATATGTGCATAAGCTGACCAGTCACTGTAGAAAACCATCTCATCAGCAGGGTGATAAAAAGTGAAGCAGCATGATTAACAAGAGGATAAAATGGAAACATCAGCCTCAAGTCTACCAAACTCCAAGAAGGCAGAACAATGGCACAACTCAGTCTTTGAGAGAATCAGTGTTCTTTAAATCCTTAGATTTTGCCATAATGAAGTCACAGAATATTTCAAATATAAATCTTTAAAAAAAAGATCAATTGATGTCTTTTACATATATGACAAGGCCAAGTAATAATCTTCTTTTATATATTTATATTTTAATGCAATCTTATGAAAGAAAAAATATGATGGTGCCAGACAACACTTCCGTCACCTAATTCAAACAGTACATATACACCTGATATGTATAAAATCAAATTCTATTTCATGTAATTCATTCAGAACCAAAAATATTTTCTTTCTAGATGTTACTTTATAGCAGCCTATAAAGTAATGGGACTTTCGGCCTAAAGACAGTGAGCGAAGGAACATCTGTGTTTCTTTAAAGACGTGTCACCTTGGGGCGCCTGGGTGGCTCAGTCATTAAGCGTCTGCCTTCGGCTCAGGTCATGATCCCGGGGTCCTGGGAGGGAGCCCCACATCGGGCTCCCTGCTCAGTGGGAAGCCTGCTTCTCCCTCTCCCACTCCCCCTGCTTGTGTCCCCTCTCTCGCTTTGTCTCTCTCTGTCAAATAAATAAATAAAATCTTAAAAAAAAAAAGTGTCACTTTATCTCTGCCCCACATGATCCAGATTGATGAAATTCAACTCTCAACAGGTAACTCATTATTCAGATCATTTCATCTGCAGTGAAAAGTGACTTATTCTATTTGTTATAAAAAAGCTCAAACTTTGGTACAAAGATCCCTAAATGATTCCAAATGGAAACTTGACCAATAGCACAAACAGCTGCCTACATTCTAATTATTCTCCTACTACAATCTAGACATTTTAGGAATCATCTTTCACTTAAGAAGCATCTATCAGGTCACTTATCTTTGAATGTTTCATTCGCTGATGGAGACAGGTACAACTTTGTGGTGTTTCTTTGCCTCTTTACAGCATATTTTTGAAGTCTATTATGTGAAATGTGCTGGGCTAAGTCTTGAGATAGAGAGAAGTGGAAGATTCAGTTCCTGTATTTAAAGAGTTTGTAATGTCTGATGATGTCTGTGCTCATCACATTATGTAAATTATGGTAATTAGAAAATCCAACTCAAGATCAGCATGGTATGGTGAAAAAACTAACTAGTCAGAGGCCTGGGTTCCATTTTAAATGTCCTTTTATCCGATGTCACTCGGTGAAAGCATTTAACGTTGCTGTGTGTCATTTTGTCATCTAACATAAAAAGACGTGATCAATCGTCTGTCTTACAGGAATGTTAAGAGAGATCAGACAACATAATATATGTAGCAATACTTTGAAAAAGTAAAAAATGCTATGAAAATGTCAAGCATTATATTGTACTTCAAGAATATTTACAAAGCCATGTAATCACTGTCCCTTAGGCTTTCAATTTTAACCTGGAAACAAAACCTAAACTCATAAGAAATAGCAGATAATTAAAATATTAAATTAGAATCTTTAGTTTTCTAGTCTATTGTTTTAAAAGATTCTATTTATTTATTTGTCAGAGAGAGAGAGCAGAAGCAGGGGGAGCGGCAGGCAGAGAGAAAAGCAGACTCCCCACTGACCAAGGAGCCCAATGCGGGACCTGATCCCAGAACCCCAGAGATCATGACCTGAGCCAAAGGCAGACACTTAACCAACTGAGCCACTCAGGTGTCCCTTCTAGACTAATTTTTTAAACTTTATTTCGTCCATTTGACATTGTGCTGATTACTAATGTAGGTCTCAAGAGGCCTTTATGTTTTGGCTTGCTCTCTGAAAATTCACGTAAGCCTGGTCTAGCCTGCTGGAGGATGACAGATCAAGTGGAGCAGAGACAAGCCACCTTAGGTTTTCCACCCAGGTCAATCAGCTCCTAGTAAGCCCAAGAGCAGAACTGCCCAGCTGAACACAGCCCAAATTGTAAAAACATGTGCTAATATTTTTTACGTAAGAATATGTAAAAACATATTCTTCTATTTATTTTTATTTTTATTTTTTTAAAAGATTTTACTTACATATTTGAGACAGAGAGAATGAGAGACAGAGAGCATGAGAGGGAGGAGGGTCAGAGGGAGAAGCAGACTCCCTGCCGAGCAGGGAGCCCGATGCGGGACTCGATCCTGGGACTCCAGGATCATGACCTGAGCCGAAGGCAGTCGCTTAACCAACTGAGCCACCCAGGCGCCCCCTTCTATTTATTTTTTTAAAAGATTTTATTTATTTATTTAAGAGAGAGAGAGCACAAACAGGGGCAGCAGCAGAGGGAGAAGCAGGCTCCCTGCTGAGCAGGGAACCAGATATGGGGTTCGATCCCAGGACCCAGGGATCATGACCTGAGTCGAAGGCAGATGCTTAACTGATTGAGCCACCCAGGCACCCCAATAGTATTCTTTTAAGCAACTAAGTTATCAAGTGGTTTTTATGCAGTGATGGCTAACTGATAAGATTAGTGGCCATGTGACTTAATGGGAAAACCCTACATTGTGTTACCTGGTTTCATTTTCTCTTTTAACTCTCTTGGGAATGGTAAATATGCAAAAGGACCTCAAGATGTACTGCTATCATAAAATTTGTCTAGACAAAGCAAAAAGTGCCAATAGTTATTTCCAAAAGGAAACAAAGAAATGTTTTTTAAAAAATACACCAAAATCTTCTATCCCTTGGGAATGTCAGGCTATTCAGGATTTTAGGCACAGAGATTTCGTGTTTGGATTGTGCTTGAAGAAGGATCTATGTAGGACAAATTAGCTAGTGAAACATAGAGTCTTTAGACTCAAAATATAGGAGGATATTGGTCCTTGGCCTGCCTTGTGGAAAATATGTTGAGGCTCACCTTACCCCAGGTGGATGATGGAGGGCTGGATAATCAGTGTGAAAGCTTAGCTTCCCGGTTGTGTAAGCCACATTGTTTGCGTCAATTTTGTCTTGCACTTGCCAAGTATGTCTGTAAAATACAAGAAACATATGTTTAAACGGGCTGTCAGTAAGCCAGAGGAAATGTGTTAGAATGAACTGGATACATGGGGGAAATGGAAACTTTTCATTTTATGAAATAATTACCATAATGATGTGAGCCAGGAAGAGAGCCCAACCTTTCCTTGTCCAAAGTTACCATTTGAGAGTATGCACTCCTACCTTCTTGTCTCTTCTCAGAGAAAAGTACATTTACACATTAGTCTATCCTACAGAGTTTATGAAGAGGTATGTGTGGGATTGTAGGTTATGTTTTTTAATAGCTTAGTGCATTTAAAATCATTTATTGAAGTGAAATTCACATAACATAAAATGAACCATTTAGTGGACAGTTCAGTGGCCCTAGGGACTTTCACAGTGTTGGTAAGCATCAACTCTATCTAGGTGCAAAACATTTCCATCACTCCACACGGACACCTCTTACCCATGAAGCATTTTCTTCCCATTCTGCCCTCCTCCCAGTCCCCGGCAAACACCAGCATGCATTCTGTCTCTAAGGATTTACCTATTTGGGATATTTAATATAAATGGAATCATACAGTGTGTGACCTCTTGTGTCTGGCTTGTTCCACTCAACAGAATATTTCTGGGATTCCTCCACGATGGACCATGTATCATTACTTCATTCCTTTTTATGGTTGAATAATATTTTATTGTATGGATATGCCACAGTTCGTTTATTGACTCATCAACTGATGGACATGTGCACTATTTCTACTCCTTGGTTGTTGTGACTAGTGCTGGCATGAGCATTTGTGTGCACGTACTTACTTGAGCGCCTGTTTTCAATTCTTTTGGGTAATGCCTAGGAGTGGAATGACAGAATTACATCATAATTCTATCTTCAACTGTTTGAGGAGGTGCCCAACGGTTTTCCACAGTGGTTGGATCACTTTACAGTCCCACCAGCAATATGTGAGGCTTCCAGTTTCTTCACATCCTCATCAACACTTGTTCTTTTCTGGGTTTTGTTGTTGTTGTTGCTGTTGGTGGTTTTAACCATCCTAGTGGGTGTGACGTGGTATCTCATAGTTTTGATGTGTATTTTCCCAATGGTTACTGATGTTGAGCATCTTTTCATATACTTTTTGGCCATTTGTATATTTCCTTTGGACAAATGTCAATTCAAGTCCTTTGCCCATTTTTAAATTGAGTGGTTTGTCCTTTTGTAATTTCTATGAGCACTTTAGATAGCCTAGATACTAAACCCTTAACAGACCTATGATTTGCAACTATTTCTTACCCTTTCTTTTTTTTTTTTTAAAGATTTTATTTATTTATTTGACAGAGAGAGACCCAGCGAGAGAGGGAACACAGCAGGGGCAGTGGGAGAGGGAGGAGCAGGCTTCCCGCGGAGCAGGGAGCCCGATGTGGGGCTCGATCCCAGTACCCTGGGATCACGACCTGAGCTGAAGGCAGACGCTTAGCGACTGAGCCACCCAGGCGCCCCTATTTCTTACTCTTTCTGTAGGTTGTCTTTTCATTTTCTTAGTGATGCTCTTTTTTTTTTTTTTTAAAGATTTTATTTATTTATTTGAGAGAGAGAGAGTGAGAGAGATAGCACAAGAGGGGGTAGGGTCAGAGGGAGAAGCAGACTCCCTGCCGAGCAGGGAGCCCGATGCGGGACTCGATCCCGGGACTCCGGGATCATGACCTGAGCCGAAGGCAGTCGCTTAACCAACTGAGCCACCCAGGCGCCCATTAGTGATGATCTTTGATGCTCAAAAATTTTTAATTGTGATGAAGTTCTATTCATCTATTTTGGTTGTTGTTTGTGTTTTTGGTGTTATATCTGAGAATCCATTGCCCAATCCAAGGTCATGAAGATTTACACCTATGTTTTCTCCAAAGAATCTTATGGTTTTATATGTAGGTCCTTGATCCATTTGAGCCAATTTCTGTATAATGTGTGAGAAGGGCCCCAACTTCATTCTTTTTGCATGTGCATGTACAATTGTCCCAGCACTGTTTGTTGAAAGGACTGTTCTTTTCCCATTGAAAGGTTTCAGCACCCTTGTTCAAAATCAGTTAGCCATAGATGCATGGGCTCCCAGTTCTGTTCCATTAGTCTGCCTGGTTATCTTTATCCCAGCACCACAATATGTTGATTACTATAGATTTGTAATAAGCTTTGAAATCAGGATATGCGTCCTCCAACTTTGTTCTTGTTTTTTATTATTGTTTTGGCTATTCAGAGCCCTTTGCAATTTCATATGAATTTGAGCATTGCTTTTCCATTTCCACAAGAAAGCCATTGGAATTTTGGGAAGCATTGCATTGGATCTGTAAACTGCTTTGGGTAGTAATCACATCTTAACAATATTATGTCTTCCTATGAATGTGGGATGTCCTTCCGTTTATTAGGTCTTCTTTAATTTCCTTCACAATGTTTTATAGTTTTCATTTTATGTTTTTCATCTCCTTGGTTAAATTTATTCCTAGGTATTTTATTCTTCTGGATGCTATTGTAAATGGAATTTTTTAAAATTTCTTTTTCAGATTGTTCATTGTGAGTGTATATAAATGCAACTCAATTCTGTGTACTGCTCCTGTATCCTACAGCTTTGCTGAATTCATTTATTAGCTCTAATAGCTGTGTGTATTCTGTGGAGTTTTTTATATATAGGATCATGCTATCTATGAGTAGAGATAGACTTATTGCTTCCTTTCTAATTTGATGCCTTTATTTCTATATCTTGCCCAACTGCCCTGGACAGAACTTCTAGTACATTGTTGAATAGCAGTGGTGAAAACCAGCACTCTCATCTTGTTCCTGATCTTAGAGGGAACGTAATGAATATTTATTTTATTTTATTTTATTTGAACTTAATGAATTTTTAATTACACTCTTGTAACTACTACTCAGTTCAGGAAATATAACTTTAAGTTTATATGTCCTGTCCCAGCCAGTCTCATCTCTCTCTTCTCCAAAGTAACCATACCATGACTTCTATATTTATAATTTCTTTGCATTTTTTGAATGTGCATCCTTAGACACTTTGTTTAATATTGCCCATTAGCAACAATTGTTATGTCTTTTAAATCTCTTAATCTACAGGTTTCCCCTTCAGCCTGTTCTTCCTACAATTTATTGTTTGAAGAATTTAGGGAGTTGGGCCTACAGAGTTCCTCACAGTCTGGACTTTGCTAATTGTGTATCATGATGTGGTTCAACATGTTTCTCTGTTCTCTCTGTTTCTAGAAAATTTGCAACTAAATGCAGAGGCTTGGACAAATTCTATTTCCTCTCTTTGGCAAAACTATAGATGGCATTGTACTCTTCTGTTAAAGACACAGAATGCCAAGATGTCTTTCTTTTTATGATATTTGTACATACTTAGGCTCAGTGGCTAGATTTACTAATTCATTGGGGGTCCCAAATAGTGAAATTAATAATTTCTTTTAATTTCTTTTTCATTTGTCAGTACTTTTAAAAATATCTACTTTCCTTCATCTAGTATTTGGTTACCCCATGTAGTAGCTACCTAGGGATACTGAGATAAATACTTGATTCTTTCCCTTTATTTACCATTTTATAATGTAATGGATTAGTTTTCTACCACTCCAAGATGAATAATTAGTTTTTTTAAAAATAATTTTATTAATGAGAATGCATTAAAACTAGATAGAGGTAATGGTTCCACAACATTGTCAATGTACTAAATGACACAAAACTGTGCACTTTAAAATTGTTAATTTTATGTTATATCAATTTTACCTCCAGGACCAAAAGAAATAACTTGACTTAAAAGTTAAGAAAAAAAGGTTAATAAATGAACTAGGGATTACTTGCAACGCTGTCAGGAAACTAAACCAATATTCAGATTTTGTAAGGCTTTTCCCTTGGCAGATTGAGACAATGGGTAATTGGAAGGAAGTCGTGTTTTAAAATAAGGCAAAGCTGTTTTGAAAAATGTGTCACCATATATGCTTGTCATTTTCTTGCTGTCATAATATCTACTTATTAATTTATGTTCACTTTAATCAAATCATTTTCCAATAGATCTATATTGATTACCTATTCTATTCCAGACATTGTTTTAGCATTAGAGATATAGCAGGGCACAAGAAAGACAAACAAGTAATTACCAAATGTAATAACAGAGAGAAGTGCCATAAAGAAAATAAAGCAAGGTAAGGAGATAAGGATTGGGGGCCAGGAGAATATCATGGCAGAGATAATGCTTTGGGAAGTGCTCCAGAAGACCTCTAAGAAAAGGAGAATGTGAATTTCTGGGTGATGTATTTTAGGGAGAGGAATCTGAAGTGAAAGGTAGGGTTTCTTCCCCATTCTCTGGGATTGAGGATGAAACTATTTGGCTCTGTTTTTTTGTTTTGTCTTATATTTCATCGAAATGTAAAATGGAGGGGCCTTGAGGTGGCTCAGTCGGTTAAGAGTCTGCTTTCGGCTCAGGTCATGATCTCGGGGTCCTGGGATCGAGCCCCGAGTCAGGCTCCCTGGTCAGTGGGGAGTCTGCTTCTCCCTCTCCCACTTCTCCCTCCTGCTCATGCTCTCTCTCTCTTTCAAATAAATAAATAAAATCTTTAAAAAAATAAAAAAATAAATTTAAAATGGAAAACCTGGTAAATCTTCCACCAAAGTTTAAAGAACCATCTCTATGTGGCCATAAGCTGGAAAGAGACTCCATGAAAGAAGAGTATATATAGCCTACTGCAACTAATTTCAAATATGAGTCAGACAATCCATTATACTGTTGACTGTAGCCAGGAAATACATGTTCTCTATGAGCCTCATGTCACTCCGTGACCCACACCTAATGTAGATTCTGCCTGTTGTCACCATCAGCATTCCAACAATAATCAACATGTAGGAAAGGATTTAAGGATACAAAAAAAGTAATTTCATCAAGTTGTGGAATCTATAATGTCTTCTAAGAAGACAATGCTTTTGACATTGTGAATAGGAAATGACTATATTTAGATTTTCTTTTCAAGAGTGATGATGGTTTTGCACTGATTCACCTACATTCCCTTTCCTGGGTCCTCCTATGATCAAGGGTAAACTCATTGAATTTTCGTGCAGCCAAGAGCTGGCTGAGATTCAAGGTGCATGTTTTAGCCAGGGAATGGATCTTTCCTTTGTTTGACATTAACTGGCTTCTACAGGGATGGGGCCTGTGACTTGGCATCATCAGCGCAGTTCTCCAGCCCTCTGTGCTAACTGGCAGGGAATAATAAACATTTTTAAGCCCTAAAGTGTCTTAGGCACGGTGTGGGATACATAGCCTAAAAGTCTATGCTCGCACATAATGATAAATCCCAGGAGAGGGGCTTGCCAATTCCAATCATAAAACATTCCCGTAATTGTCTAACATAAGTCTGGAAAAATCCTAGAAATGTCATTTGGTCTACCTTTCTACCTCCTTATAGAAATGAATCATGCCAAGAAAGCTGCTGCTGATTGTTTATGACCTTAAGCTTTCACGTTTCCTTCTCAAATCCAAAGGAAAACACAGCAGAAATAAATGCGAATGTGATCCATTGGCCTGTGGAGAAACTGTTTTTTAAAAGCCCGCTCGTGGGGCCTTAGTGAGATGAGGGTGTATTTATAAGCATCTTTCATTAGAAGCAGATTCTAATGCTCCTCCAAGTAAAGCAGCTCAAGCAGACTGTCAGAAACTGTCATGACCAAAGCAGAGGTGCAGGACCCAGATTTTTCTAAAACTCAAGAGGCAGGCTCAGCATAGCATCTTAACCCATTGGCATAGACTTGCCTGGTATTATGCTGGGACAGGCAACTGGAACTGTGCTCATAATACTGCTTTTGCCAGAGATCCTATTTTAAACAAATCTAGGTATTTCCACTGAGCTACTTGTGTCATTCTCAAAATCGGATAAACCAAAACACAGACTCTTAACTATAGAGAAGAAACTGATGGTTATAATATAGAATCCTATATTATATATAGAATTATTATTATAATATATTATTATATATATAGTTATATATAGAATTATATAGAATATATATAATTATAGATTATATCATGATGCACACTGAGTGATATATAGAATTGTTAAATCACTATACTGTATACCTGAAACTAATACAGCACTGCATGTTAACTATACTGGAATTAAAATTTAAAAAAAGAAATTTCTTTTATATTTTCCATTTAAGGATTTTGTCAAAAGCTCCTGTACATTAAAATCATGACTTTTAGAGACTATTTTGTGGGCTTCGTTTGAATACTTATTCACTAGATCCACTCCAGTCTAGATGGCCAGTCATAGATATTCATGATATTTCATGAAATTAATAGTGTTTTGTGACAAATTTGAATCCTTTAATGTTTATGGAATGCTTAAATATTGTTTTTGCTAGATTTGTTCTTTATACCCTTGGTGTGATAGATTTTATAATCTTTTGGTTAACAGCTCACACCTGGAAAACCATGTTAGATTTATTTTTAATCTTTTTCTTTTCTGAAGTATGGCTTACATGAAAAGATGTTCTACAACTGCAACCTGTATTTCTTATCACCAACAGCTACAATTTCTAATCTCAACCTGCTGCAAGCTGCTCTCATCAGGTAACAGAAGAATGCCTTCTTTTGACTATCACTATTTGTTCTGTTAGATCTAAAACATAATGCTCATACGTTATTTTTATTTTTTAAGTTCTAACATAGACAATTATCTCCTAGCGGAGCCTGGGTGGCTCAGGTGGTGAAGTGTCCAACTCTTGATTTTGGCTCAGGTCATGTTCTCAGGGTCGTGAGATCGAGTCCCTGTTGGGCTCCATGCTGAGTGGAGAGTGAGATTCTTTCTCTCCCTCTCCCTCTGTCTTTCCCCTCCCCTGCTCTCGTGCACGCATTCATGTGAGCACATGCTCTCTCTCAAATAAATAAATAAATCTTAGAAAAAGAAAATTATCTCCTAGCTAAAATAAACAAAAACATTTATAATCATCCAAAGGAATATTACACTGTATATCATTTCTTTTTAATTTTTTAAAAAGATTCTATTTATTTATTTGAGAGGGAGGGAGTGAGAGAGAGAGAGAGCAAGAGCAGCGGGAAGGAGAAGAAAACTACCCACTGAGCAGGGAGCCTGATGGGAGGCTCGATCCCAGGACCCTGGGATCACAACCTGAGCTGAAGGCAGACGCCTAACCAACTGAGCCACCCAGGTGCCCCTATCATTTCTAACTGTAGTTGGGACAAATCCACATATGACTTCCCAGATGCAATCACCCTTCTGAGCTTCAGATATTTATTTTTCCATTATCACTTGTTAGACCCACACAGTGGGCCAGGAACTGAGGATGCAGGTGTGAACCGAGCAGACATGGTACTTGCACCTCATGGAACATACGATCTATGGGGAAGAAAAATCAGTGTGACTTACCTTCCAAAGCTGAAGTACAAGGTGTTATGAGAATAAAGAAGTGAAGATTAGGTCGAGACCTGAAGATTGAGTAGGCTATACCTAGAAGGGGACAGGTCATTGTGGGCAGAAGAAATAGCATGTGAGAAGGTCCGGTGGAGGGAGAGAACACAGCCTCTTAGGGGAAGTGATAGAAGTCAAATATGGGCCAGAGTGGGGATGGTTTGCTCTATGGTTATTCCTGACTTTGCTTCAAATTTCTCCTTCCCTTATTGTCCTGTAAAGTCTTACCAAAAAAAAAAAAAAAAAAAAAATCTCATCAAGTTAGGAACTGAGTTGAAACATACTCTTTATCTCATAGCATTTAACTCACTGCCAAAAATATTTGTTGAATGAAGGCATGGACTGTAAGACAGTAATTTGTGTTATGTTCCCGACTGTCTGGCTATTAACTTTAGTCCTAGCCAAAGCTATATGTTTTAGGTATATTTAAATTATGAATAATTTGGCCACCAATCATTCCTGTTGTCTGATTTCTAGGGGAAGCGTTACAGTTGTTTGTAAACAATACTTGGCAAAATTGCTAGAGTTGTGTTTTAAAAAGCCATCATCTTTTCAGTTCTACTTATATTGTGGACACTCATTTTTACATTGCATTTATTCCTGAAAATGAAAAACTCCATATCATTTTTGGTGAGAATTAATATCCCCACTATAAACTGGAAGAACAAAAGTAACCTGTCTGATATCTAGCATTGCTCTTACTCAATCCATTAAACTCATATGGAAATCTCCATGAAGCATAAAGATACAAAGCAAACAAGGAGGATCCTGGGGTGATGATGGTGACATAGTTCTTAATCTCTCTGAATTTTCTTCATAGGACATCTAGTGTGCAGACCCAAAAACTCAGGGACAACATCTAAACCCAAATTAGGTGACAAGATATATCCATGAAGCCCAAAATATGAGTGGGCTATAGAGACAGACTTTCCAAAGCCACAATCTGCGGCATCAGAAACGGTGCAGAGGAGGAAGCAGAGGGAAGCAACTAGGTACTGGATGGATCCGAAAAATTCCCAGAGCACTAATGACAGGTACTGGCACCTGTAGAAAGGCACCTTGAGAATAGCAGTCAACCTGGGAGGTATGTTCACGTTCCAACTCAGCTGCCTATGAGGGGTCCGTGGTAAGGGACTGGATTAGTCTGGGCCCTTGGGAACTCGAAATACTTAACAGATAAAACTCTCATCCACGAGGAAGCTTCCTCCTGAGAAAATGACGCCAAACTGAGCAGTCCGGGGACAGTAAGGACAAAGGAAAAAGAAGTTCCAGCTAAAAGTAAAGGAGAGAAACCAGGAGGTCTTAGAAGGTCATCAGCCATTGTTTTGAAATACAGCTTAAAACCATAACAAAATGTTTCTGAATCATATCTCCTTTTAATAGTGAAGAAAAAAATTCACATAAAAATTGGAAATAGCACCTGATTAAGATTTAGTTTCATAAAGTTATTTTAAGAGAAAAAGAGAATGAATAGCAAAATAACATACCTATAGATAATATATGCCAGAAGGATACACCCCCCAAAGATAAAAAATGTTCTAGTTTTTCTAACTTCTATTTTTCTATTTATACGTACTTCTGTTGAGTCCAGAAGACATTAATGAAATGATACAATATATGAGAGAATAACTTACATCAGAGATAGAAACTCAGAAAGGGAGTGATACACTCAGAAAGGAAAAATTTTAAAAATCATTAAAAATGAAGACTAAGCTAGAAGGGATGCAATATTGAATAAGCACAACAGATAACACCTTTGGATGAGGAGAAGATAAAAAGGAGAAAAACTTAAATATCAAAAAAGACAAGAGATAAGAAAGATCTGAGAGAAAGTAATAAATTTTAATTAAGAGAAGATTTAATATACACATAATATGAATCCTCAAAAGAAGAAATCCAGATTAAAGAGAACAATTATTAAGAACTATAATTAAAAAAAAATCTTGAAAATAAAAAAAAAAAGATTTGAAACATTGAAAGACCAAACCATACACTCCCTGAAAAAGTTACCCCAGAATATCCAACACCGAGATATCCTATAAAGTTACTGGTCTTTAAAAAGAAAAATCTTTTGGGCGTCCAAGTAAAAATATCAAATTATTTATAAGGGAAAGAAAATTAGATTACCAATAAAACTGTAGTGACATATTAAAGATGATGTGAGCCAAGAATTTTATATTTAGCCAAGCTGATTTTCAAGTATAAAGATCTTAAATTGCTGTCAACATGCAAGAATTTAGAGAATATTGTTCTCTTGGGGCCTTCCTGAGGAATTTACAAGAGAATAGGATTCAGACAACCCAAATGAATAGAGATACATTCACACAGGCACTGTACTAAGTAGTAAAGTTTATTTACTCACAGAACTACTAATAGGGGAGAAAAAATATATAAAAAATCTAAAAAATTGGGAAACCAAACTACTGTTAAAAAAAAAAGGGATGCTCAGGAAAACAAGATAGTGAATACCATAAAATTCAGGAGAGCTATTACATTTGGGGAGAAAAAAGAGGTTTGTGATTGCTTAGGGCATGTGGATTGGTTCCAGAGTGACTGGCAATGTCTATTTCTTGACGTGGATGGTGTTTCAAGAGCACGTGCCTTACAAAAATTCATTTAGCTATATATTTGTCTTATGTGATTTTTCTGTGTCTGGATTGTATTTTACCATGAGAAGTTGCTTTTTTAAAAATTTATTTTGAAAGGTTAATAATACTCCCAATAATAAAAATAAAGACGGGTAATGATAGAAAGATGGCAACCACCTCTAAAAACATAAAGAAAAAAGTTTTAGCAATTTCCTCCAAAGTTCTAAAGTGTTTCATTATGAAAAACTAAGAATGCAGTGCATTGCAGAAGAAAAAAAAAAAGCTTATGAGAATTCCACATTAAGCATATTTAGTTTTTTGGGCGTGGTAGGTCAAATTGTGCTTAATTTATTTCAACAGAACAGGAGCTAGATGCTGGTTTAGATTTTTGATGTGCAAGGTTAAAATATAAACTTCATTTTCTCTTGTCACAAGTTATTTGATTCCTTGTCAATTGTCACTTTCCCTTTGCATGAACAGTTGGCTATAATTTGAACTTAATAGATGGGATGGGAATGAATATTCTGGTGCTGTTGTTATGACTTAGTTTGAGAAATTTCTATATAATCCTGTTAAAGTGTTCCCTTGCATCTGAGCTCTAAATATGTGTGGAAGCCACATTTGGTAGTTAATAATTTTTTTTTAAAGATTTTATTTATTTTTTAGACAGTTGAGCGAGAGAGAAACAGCATGAGAGGGGAGAGGGTCAGAGAGAGAAGCAGGCTCTCCGCCGAGCCAGGAGCCTGATGTGGGACTCGATCCCAGGACCCTGGGATCATGACCTGAGCCGAAGGCAGACGCTTAACCATCTGAGCCACCCAGGCACCCTGGTAGTTAATAATTCTTATGGCATTAGGAACTATGGGGGGAATGCTAGATAAACCACCATACAAGTACAGTGCCAAGGAAAGACTGCAGACTGTTGAATCAAGTAAACTTGGGTTTGAAGCCTGATTCTTCTGCCTCAGTTTCCTTATCTCTAAAATGGGAATAATGGTTCTTATTAGAATTGTGAAGATTCAAGATAATGACCGTAAAACATTGAGTTCAATACTTGGCACATAAAAGGTGCTTAACAGAAAATCATTTTGTCCCAACCCAAGGCTCAGAGGAAAATCGAGGAGGTAAGGGGGGGTCAGGGCTTGTGGAGAAGCAAGTGGTTTACTAGGGTCTCAAAATTTCCTCAAGTGATTTCTAGGGGAGCATGAGACACAGAAATTATTTTTCCTTTCATTCATGAGATGATCTCATACTCAAGTGGTTTTGCTGGCAGCAACTTTAATTACTGCGAAACTGAGTATTACAAAGGGAACCCCAGGGACCTTTCTCTTGGCTGATAACATAAGCTGGGGTTCACAATGGCTGAAAGAACACAGCTTGTTACTTTGCTTGGGAAACCCTAATACTCACAAGAATACACATTTTAAAGGTTCTCCCCACCCCTACTCAAACACTAGGGTCAGTACTAAGTCTAAAACAACTCATTAAGAAATCCCAGTGTGAAGTTTTTACAAAGTAGGATGGAATTACAACTAGATTCAGAACTCAGACAGGTTTTCTTCTCAAGTCTAAATTGCTTTTAGGTTGGTTTTTCATAACTCAGCCATTTTTATTCAAGAAGGGCTATGTGGTTTTCTCAAACAATTTCTTGGCTAGAAACTTCACCAAAATGGATAAACTTGTTTTTTCTTTCCCTGTTAAGTCTCCACACTTCACAAATGTTTTCCAGTAACATGTATATCAAACAAGTAGCTGTTTCAAAGTCAGGTTTGGAGGCAGTGCTAGTGGTAGGAGCAAATTCTAAGGGGCGGAAGCCAAGGAATAATAATATTTTTCACTCATAGACCCTCAATCACTAATACAACCGAATGTGTGAAATGCTGCTGGGCTGGCTTACAGAAATGCTAGCAGAAATCCAGTGAATGCTGGAAAGGCTATATTCTTGTACTCCCCAGAGGCCATTTCAATATTGTTAATTCTTAACTGGCCTGGCTGGTGTATTTGACAAACAGCCCACTAGAAACATTTTTGGTTTGACATGATTTTATTCATCTGATGAAGCCTGCATGCAAGGCGCTCATGCAGATGCAAAACTGGGCAGCAGGAGTAGCCTCTTATATTTTCCAGCGAACTTTCATCTAAAGGTTTCAAAGGGCATGCCAGGTATTAAAACGGTCCTGTAGAAAGAGAGAAGCAAGTCCTCAGTAGAGGAGAATCATAGAGCTCCAGGAAATTACATGAAAAGCTTAGATCACCTTCTCACCTACAAATAGCCAGTGGTGGAGCCATGATTCAACTGTGGTTCTCTATTGGTCCTACAGGCAGCTCTCCGGGCAGTAATGTAATGCAGATGCTCTGGGGCGTTGGGTTCTCAACTCTCCCCCCATTTTTTAGGAATGAAGTGTTCCAAAGTATTTATTTAAATTTTCCCACTACCATTTGTAACCTTGTAAGTTTTATTCAGTAATTGTACAGCTTCCATGCTTGTCTCCACAAGATAAAATCTGACTACTACCAGGATCCATTAAGTTCCTTTTACCCCTTTTTCTCATTGTCGCTGCCTATTTTATTCCTGATGTTGGTGTTTCAGAAAAACATTTTTCATTTTCACCTCATTATTCTTATTAATCTAATAAGAATATGGTAATGTAGTAATGCAACTTGCTTATGCCAGCAAATAAAACATTCTTAGAAAGAAGAAAATCTGAAACTTCTGGACTGTATTCTGGGAATACAAATACAAATTTCCTTCTGCTTGACTTTCTGACGAAGAAGGGTCACTCAGAGTTGCTCACAAGGTTAATTTTCTCACTAAGGGTTTACAATGCTGGGGCGCCTGTGTAGCTCAGTCGGTTAAGTGTCTGTCTTTAGCTCTGGTCATGATCCCAGGGTCCTGGGATTGAGCCCCACATTGGGCTCTCCGCTCAGCAAGGAGTCTGCTTCTCCCTCTCCCTCTGTTCCCTCTCTCTAGCTCTCGCTCTCTCTCTCAAGCAAATAAATAAAATCTTAAAAAAAAAAGTCGACAATGCTAAGAAAGAATTTTTGATGTCTTGACCAAATGAAGTCCTCAATATCTTAGCATACATTCCCTTTTGTTAAAATTCCCTGAGTGCTCACTGTGTGCCAGGCACTGAGCTAGGACTGAAGATATCATTCTGATTAGGCCACCATTTCAGTCTACAAGGAGCTCAATATGACAGCAATGATGGCAATGAGATATGCATGCCTTATTTTCAGAGATTATCCTGTTACAAGCAAAACAGCTAGTTAATACACAATGCTGGTGGTAAATACTTTAAAAAATCAACACTGAATCTCTTCCTTCTCTCCGTGTCACATGCATGTACACACACACACACCATTACAGGAACTTATGTAAATAACAAAACCCTGACTTGGCCCATTTAATTCGTTGTCCAACCAATGGAAAAGGAATATTTTCATAGTAATATATTCATAGAAATTATGAATAATTTCATAATATTTTCATATTTAATTTCTTCAATTAAAATCACAGTATGATTTTGCCCTTTTAGGGAAGAACATTGTTCTTCTCAATGTTTTCTTACCAGAAGTATGGTTTCAAAAGCCCATGACCAGTAAGCATTACTAAAACCCAGCAAACAGACAGTAAGGATATCTTACAGC